GGGAAAAACGTCTCCAACCCAGAACATGAAAACCATGAAAGCCACGAAGCCAAAGAGCTGCTTACACATGAGATCCCAAGAAACAGGTGTGGGAGATGTGTCCACTCGGTTCCTGATATACATGTCTATGTCCCAATGTAACTGAGGCAAAAAGGCAGATAATTGTCAGACAAAGTGCTCTTCCTGCAAAAAGCAGGTAGTTCTGTGACTACACACTAATACAAGGCTTGACAGAAGCATTCCACTGCCTGTGGGCCATATTCTGAGCATTAGGTCTAAGACTCATGGGCCCACGGGACTGGATGCTGTCCTGTCTCAGCCTCACCAGAGAAAGCTCAATCATGAAATATACAGCTTTCACAGTACTAAGCTTGGACTTTTCTTCGAAGTCCCATTATATGGGCCATATGTGAAACCTCAGGTCTCAAATTACTGAACTTGCTTCTGTGAGGAGGAAAGCTTAGTGTTAACTGGACAGAGAAGTATCATTGGAACTAATGAGAGAATCCACAGGAAAACACAAGAAGGCTGGAAAGAAGGTAAAATGGGTTATGGTTTTCTCACCGGCTCACCCCAGTTCGTCCTCAGGTCCGTGTGGTCCCATTCATACCACGGATCCCTCTCATGCTGTGAGCGGTCAGGGAGCTTCGGATAGTCACCATACCTGAGAGACAGTAAGAACTTCTGGAAAGATCCATGATCAGTTTCAGACAATTCAGAGTCCTCATCTCAGATATGAGAAACCAAGTGCTAAATATAAGTACTTTACCAAAGGACAAAAGAACTGACTCTTCAAACAAGATCTCAAGTTCTCACCATTAAACACAGAGCAAACAAAAAAAGTCCTAATTGTAAATCAAAAGCCATGCTTTCCTTTCTTTCAAAGAGTTGTATAATTCTATAATATTAGAGCTAAAAGAAAATTTAAAAACCAATTGTTCAGATGCCCTCATCAGGTACTAAATGAAGATAAAGTTTGGGTCTGACTCCAAAACCACTTGGGATTAAGAAAAAGTGTACACATTAGAAAAGCATTATTTTCATAGCAACTGTGTTTCTAAGCTGGCACACATCTCCATGTCTCAAGTAGGTCATGGAACCTCTTTCTTAGCTGGATCAGATTCACCTTATACAGACTGCTACCAGTCCAACACACAATTAAAAACGAACGGTAGCATCTCCAGAAAATGACTGGAAAGCCAGAATAGGGGGTACTCGCTTGCCTTGCATGCATGAGGCCCTGGGTTCGACTCCTCAGCACCACATAAGCAGAAAAAAAAAGCCGGAAGTGGCGTTGTGGCTCAAGTGGTAGAACACCAGCCTTGAGCTGAAGAGCTGAGGGACAGTGCCCAGATCCAGAGTTCAGGCCCACGACCGGATTAAAAAAAAAATAGGGGGTACTGAATCCAGGACAGGAAATGAGGGGGGTTGGTAATTTAATCTGCTTAACACTTGCGGCGATTTCCACAGTTGTATCAGAAGTATATGTACACCTATACATACATATATACACACATGTGCACATAAGTATACACACATATGTGCATATATGTGTACACACACACACGGGGTGGGGGCATACACACACACAGAAATAAAGAACTCCATCTATAAATACGGTTCTCATGACAGGAATCCAGCCCCAGCCTCGTCGTGTGCCTGGATGACAGCACCTGAGCCCAGCAGCTGCTCAATCTAAATGAAACTCGGCGCTCTGGATGAAGCCAAGGAAAGGTTCCTGCTACTCAGGAGTCCTCGAGGGAGTCATTAAAATCCCGGCTTTCTCTTTGGAGGAAACAGCTAGAGCCAAGGAGAAGATTGAAATCCTCTGGGCTGCAGCTGCTCACTCACTCCCGGCCTCCGTCCATCAAGGAAAGCACCCCCACCAGTGACTCTTGAGGGGTCGGGAGGGTCAGGGTCCAACACCCCATGCAGCGGTCCTCTCGCATCACTATTCGGGGGCAAGCAGACCCTCTACTCACCCCATGCCATCATCCGGGTAAGGCTGGTAGTCTTCCACACGCATGTTATACTTCTTGGCGGCGGCGGCGCGTTCTTCGGGGGTCTTGGGATAGGGCCCCGGCAACATGTCTTTGGTCATGTGGAAGGCTGAATGGCGGAAGAGGCCATTTCAGACAGACTCCGCTCTCCAGCGGCCGGGGAGGCTCCAACCTGCGATGGCTGCAGAGGCCGGAGCCCCGGACTCGGCCGGAGCCGGGATCCCTGTTTCAGGATATACGCATGCGCCCTCCGCCCCCCCCCCCACGGTACCCACGATCTCCCTTCCAGGCGCTACCCATTTCAGGCCTCCCCTTCCCACACCAAGGACTTTCCCGTTTGCGCCGACCTGTCCGTGCTCCTAACGGCACCGCGCTCCGGCATGTCCTTTGCAGCCATCGGACTCCCAGGACCCCGGCCCTCAACGCCGCCATCTTCACCTTCTTCGAGGTTCCTCTCGCGCATGCGCAAAGGCCAGCGACGGCGGCTGAGCCGGGCCAAACGCGACCGCCCAAGCGCGCAGCGGCGGGGGGGGGGGGGGGG